TCATTCGATTTCATCCTGGACACTACAGAAAATGGGCTTAAAGTGTTAAAAAGTGAACTTCTCCTTTAATCCAGGTGTGTTGAAAAAGACACAGAACTAAACATCCAGGATATCTATTGTTAAGGATGAAATTTGATCTTTCTGAGAAACATAGTGTAGCCAAGGAAGAACAACAGCAGTAAAGTTATGTCTTCCCCCAACATTACTCAAGTAAAGTATATATACTAGAACAATATACAGAAGTACACTAATTAAGCAAATGTAAATACAAATTGAGTCCTGTTTAAAGTAAATTGTCTAATTGCAAAGCAGTCATTTTCTGAAATTTGCACAAATTAGAGTCAATACACTGAAATACAGGTGGTTATGGAAATTTTATTATAGACTATGATTTTTTTTTACTTATACTTGTTTAAGTTAGTTACACTTTATATATATCAGGGAAAAAGCCTGGTCATTAAATATCTTCTTATAGATTATTTAAAAACATTTAGTCATAACAATATTTTAAAACCGTACATTCTTTTGCAAGACAGAGAAAGGTTATTCAAAAGAATAGATTTGGTTTCAGTGACAGAGATTCTACAGCTCTGCAATATACACTTTTAAATATTTACAGGAATTAGAAAAATTTAATCTTGTGTTTGTCCTCAAATGTCCTTGAAATGTTCAACAAAAAAGAAAATAATCTGCTTTGCAATGGTTTAATTGTGGCTTAACCACAGATAGTGGTTATAACTTGAAAGAAAGGTTTAACAGCTGAGAACAAAATGGATCTGCTAACAATTCTGTTTTTCTCATTTTAGTCATGTAGCGAAAAGGTTAGTTACTGAAAGAGAAAACAATATTAACAGTGAAATATTTCTAAAAATAGTTACATTGTTGTGGATGACTAGCTGTACTCAGAAATTAGAAACCTTGTTTCTGATATTTTCTGTTACTGTGGATGTTATCTGGTGACCCTGTGTGCGGACACTTTGGTTGGTTCATTTCTTTTTTTTGTTGTAGCTTTGCTGTCTTTTGGATATTAATAACAAGTATGAGTTAAGATAAATAATTCAAAGTACTGTTGCCTATACTGGACAATGATAATACACTCCCTTACCCGTGTCATGAAAACTGCAAAACATAGTAATTGTGTACCACCTAAAGTAAAACTATTTCTTTACTGCATGTGTACCATATGGCAATATTTTTAAAGATGTTTCTGTGTTTCAGATGAATGTAACCTCCCTCTGTATTTTATAAATAAAAATCATGTGTAAACATACTTTAAAGACCACTTTTTTTCCTTTTCATAACAGTAAGTTTTTGCAAAAATTGAACCTCAAGCAGAAACAAATTTATTTAAAATTTCTAAGCTTTCCTTGTCTGACAATGAAAATCAAAAAAATGCAAATGTATCATTTAATTCAGTCTTTTACAAGCAACAGCATCAAATACAAAGCATATATCAGGCAATAATAGGTTGAAGTGGACTCTTCACTAGTACACAACTATTACCTGTATGGTTTTAATGTGTTAGTTTTTCAGGAAAACAAAGAGACGGGTAAATGTGGGACACCACCCTAGTAGACAAAACACAGGGATTATCTGGGCCAGGAGAGGGCAAACACATCTGACACATATTTTTCTGTAGAGTTAACAATATGACATTTAGCTGTGTACCTTATAAATGTTACAACATATCTCTAACAAAGCTCTTAAATAACAGCAAAGTAATTGGACTCCAAAGAGTGAATAATTACAATGTAGATTACATAGTCCCTTTTGAATAGAGCCATTATGTTGTATGGGGCAAGATAGGAGTGTTTTTAAAAGTGTATTTTTTCTGCCATTAACATTAACTTAAAGTAGAAGGCTTATATTTGATCTAATGACAAATTATAGCAATAAAGCACATTTATTGCCGTCCCATCCTCCCCAAATTACAACCATACAATCTCATGCATTTTATTGAGATTAAATGGATGGTTCTGATTTTTGGAAACTTGTTTGCAACGTTCAGCAGCTGTGGCAGAGATTCAACACTGTCGCAACTGCCACCGAGCCACCTGCTATGAGAAATGGACAGTACAGTACTGGAGAAAAAAGTGATGTTAATCAAATTAGGAATCTTTTTTTATTTTTTTTGCCACTATAACTCTGAAGCATAGAAAGTTAGTAAAAATATGTAATATTTTAAATGAACATGATTATTAATTTCATCTCCATCAGTTATTTCCTGAATATTTTTAAAAATTCTGCTACCTTAACATCATCGAGACATAGATTTGGAGTTTGAAATGGAATCACTGGAAGCAATATCAGCAGGTTCTTAAAATGAAACCATGTCTGGTTCAAATGATGGCAAATTTCCTCTGTCTCCCCTGGGGGGTGCCTTAGGTACAGCTGTTAGCAGGAGCACACGTTAGTTTTTAACTGAAGAACCAAGTCACCATTTCAATGAGGGAATAAAACTGAAAAAAGTCCTTCCGGAAATGTTCCAAGCACAAAGTAGACATCGTGGGGTGCCTGCAAATACTGAAGATATGATTCATGACCTTCATTCTGTTTTTTTTTTTGTTTTTTTTTTTTTAGAGCAAGGTTAGAGTAAAATAGTGCTAATTCATAAAAAGGTCTGACATAGCCCTGGGATGTTTCAAAATAGTTGAAATAATAAAAAAAAAAAAAAGTTTTTCTAGCTAAAAACATTTCACTTACGACACCCCCATACAGTACCAAACTACTTTTCTCTTGTACGTTACCAGACATTTCTCATAGCAGGAAGCTTGGTGACAGTAGTGACACCGGTGCATCTAGAGATGGGGAATATGTGCCATAAACCCAGTTTCCCTTTCAGCATTGCAATCCTTTGGATCATGGCTTTTCATTTCTTACCATGGCCTCATCAAAGTCTAGAGTTGAATCCAATTAAGAATCGGAGGCAAGATGCTGTGGGAGATTTCATCATACAGATCCAAGCTGCATGGATAGGAGGACAAAGGGCAAGAAGGACAGGAGAGGGAAACCCCGTGGGAAACAGTTTGGACTAAGAGGAGGATACATTTTGGTGGGAGTTGGACCAGGATTGAACTATTAATATTTGAACAATCAAATTGTATTCTTTCTGAACTTTACTCTGTATCCTTAATCTGTGTTCCAGTGCCATCTGCTCACTATAACATGTGTGACACACTAAAATTAATGTCAATTACCTTATACTGAACAGATATGTTCAAGTTCAATTTCTGTTTGTGTTTCATGATTGAACATTTTATTTAAAAAATTATTACAAAAAAAAAATCTGAGGGAAATTGTTATGCACAGATTTTTTGCATCTCATCTTGCTTAATTTGCTATTTTGGAAAAACGAGAAAACAGCCTAAAAAGAGTACCTGGGTTAAACATAAATAATAGCAACATATTCTTCTCTCATGTGTTGATTTATCTCCCAAGTTCATGTAGGCGATACTTCACTACTTTAACCGATGAATCTGTGTTTGATTACTCTGTGCGAGCATGCATTTAGCACAAAAAATTGCATTATTTGACAAACCGAATTATGAAACTAAATGAATACACAGAATTTCAAATTTGATGTGAATTATAGAATTGAACTTTAAAATATAGACAAACTCAGTTTTACT